TGCAGCAAGCGAATGAAATGAAATAGGATCGAATTTTAAAAATGTGAAAACGAATTTTTGCGTAGATTAATTCGAGGGGCATAAGTTCGCGAATTTTTCAAACGATTGTTTATCTGCAATGACCGAGTTAATGAAATTGAATGAATTTTAATTGTTCGAAAATGAATTTTTTTGTACCCTGCTTTTTAGTCCCTTTTTGATGTTTTAATAATATATTTGAATAGTTCAAAATATATTTTTTTATTTGATACTTTTAATTTTATTAAATTTTCATAGAAATAATTTTATATTTATTTTTTAGGAGATATAATTCCTTATTATTCATTTTATTAAGACATTGAGTATATGCACTCATATCAATGGAAGGGAAAAAATTAATAAATTTCAAATTATTTTTATTTATACCATATTTATTTATAATTAATGTAATTTTTATATTAATTTTTTTTATTTTAACATTTTCCAGAATGAATATGTTTGCTTTATATTTATTTTTTGAAGGAAGCTTACTTCCAAGTTTGTTGTTAATTTTAAGATAAGAATATCAACTTGAACGTTAACAAACTTCAAATTATATATTGTTTTAAATAAATATATAAATTCAAATTTTTATTTTTGGAGTGTTTATATATTTAATTATTTATTATTGTATTTATCAATAATTTAAACTTTTTTAATTTTCTTTTATTTCATTTGTTTGTTTAAAATTTAATTGAATATTTATTAGTATTTTTTTGACTTGAGGAATTTTAAATTGTTTACATCAAGTTTATCTATAATTGTTGATTATTGTGTTACTCATATAGAAAATGTTTTAATAGATACCATATAATAAATTTAAGATAGTAGGGAGTTTATGGTGGATATACTTTATTTATTGAACATTGATTATATTTCATAGGTTTATTTTGTTTAGCTTATATTAGATATGAACTATTAGGAAATTTATTATTAAATTTATTATTAAATTTATTAGGAGAAATTTCATTAACAAATAGAATTGTTAATTGACCTTAATATTTAATTATTAGTTTTTTATTATTATTATTTAGAGCTGCCTACTAAATACTTTATTCTTATAGTTAACATCGAAAAATTTGTTCAGAAGTTTATTCATTTAGAGTGAGAAATTGATTTTGATTTTGAGAATGAGACATTGATTTTCTTTAAACTTATTAGTTACAAAAAGTAAAATAATTTATTATTAATTATAATTTATTTTAATTATTTAAAACATTGATTTCTGATATCCAATATACAAGATAATATTTTAATTTATGAAAAAAGTATCATTATGTAGAATAAAATTTTAATTATTAAATAGTATGAGTATAATTTCATTTTTTTTAAGATTGTTATTTTTTAATCAAAATTTTCTACAGTGAGAAATAATTTCTTTAAATGCAAGGTTAAGCGATTGAAGTGTTACATATTGAAGCGATTATATCTTTTTTGTGTGAAGTTATTTTTTATTGAGTCAAATTACAAAAATTTGTGGAAATAATGAAAATTTCAGAAACCATTCACTCTAGCTCGATGTGGTCTTGAGTCTTGACTATAACTTTCAAACGATTAAAAAGTGAGTTACATACTTCACGAATATGAGCTTCCGGTATTTTAGCCTATTCCTGAACAATGGTTTTGTTCAGCGCATTCATACTGGCATATTTTTTAGTCCTAACCTTGCTCTCCAAAATGGCCCAGATGTAATAGTTCATTGGATTTGTATCTGACGAATTTGAAAGCGATTATGTAAACAAAATGAAGTATTTACCATGAGTTTTTCTTGGTTCACGCAAGCTTTATGAGACAGTACTCACTGTTTGTGTGCCCACGACTCTAAAGCAACTTCCAAAATGTAAGATCTTGTGCTTTTTGGGACACTTAAGGGAATACGCGTCGGATGCTTTGATAGGATATTATCAGTTCTTTAGCCATTTGATTACCACTACGACGTGAATTTTTATGTTATATAACATAACATAACTAAAGTACAATTAAAACTTAAATAAAATTAATAATAGAAAATATATATATTATATAATAAATTTTAAATTGGAAATTAAAATTGCCAATATAAAAAATAAAAGGAAATTATGCAACTTAGAAAATAAAGTAAACAATATTTTAGATTGCTTATAATGTAAGTTATCATACATTATACATGATAACTTCGTAGTTTTTCAACCGATTTGCTAGAATTTTAAAATATAAGCAATTTAAATACTTATAAAGTAATTATTGCCGTTTATTATTACTTATTGGATTTTGTATAATTTCTGAGAACTGAGAAAGGAATAAAACATAGAGTTTGAAGAACAAATTTTTGGCTATTAATCTTTGAACTGACCAAAAGAAACGACTGTTGCAATTTATACCTAAAAAGGTATGTATACATATTTTATATTTCTATAATAGCAATTGTATTCATTATTTAATTATCTAATATAAAATTTTATTATTTAAATTGTTAATACACCAAAAAGTATGACATGTGAGATTGATAACTAAACTATATTTAACGCATGTACCAATTTGTCAATGTACCAATTGCCAATGCATAATTGTAGATAGACAGATAAACATATACTTTGAAATCAAAAACAAAACAACAAAAAGAAATATATATAAAATATATATATATAAAATACATATATATAAATATATACATATAAAAAATATATATATATACTAGCTGACCCGGCGAACGTTGTTTCCCCTTGCAATTAATTTTCCTGACGTTCGTTGCGTTGCTTTTGACTTTCATTAGAACGTGTGATTGTATCCTGATTTCTTACATTTTCATTGTTTTCTGCCGATCTATTTAACCGACGGTTTTGGAGTAATTGTGAATTCCGAGTCCGTCGACAAATATTTCCTCCTCGTCCACGAAGACGTGGCATTGTTTTTTGTACGTTATTTATATCTTTACATATATAATTCTTCTTTTTTGTGTGTTGAATTTTTGAATTCTCTGGATTTACCAGGAATACCACCACATAACTTAAGATTAAAAATTGGCTCACCTATAATTATGCTGCAGAATTTAAATGCACTTAAGCTATGCAACGGCAGTTTTACGATTCATGTTAGAGATTTTAAAGTTTTTAAACAAATCAAAGTAAGCATGAATAAATTTTAAATTTCTAATATAAATGTATATGCATACCAAAAAATAAAAAATTAATTAAAAAGACATTATCTAGTGGGCCAAATTGTGAATCTAAACCTTCCTTGAATCCACTTGAACACTCACAAAAAATTTCATCAAAATCGGTTCAGCCATTTAGGAGGAGTTCACTGTCAACACACGTACAGAAGAATTATATATATAAGATATAATATTATTGTTAATGAAGTGTTTAATTTATTGTAATTTACGTATTTTCTATTGAAGCAATATAAGTATAAATAGCATCTTAGTAGTACCGCATCTCCGTCCAATTAGGGCACATTACTATTATTACTATTAAATGTATTAATATATATTTTTAATAAAAAAATTATTTTTTGAACATACAAAATAGTTGTCGATTATGTGACTGGCGTTTGGCATCTAAATTACAGACCTCCTAGTTGTTTGTGGCACAATTAAGGTCATTCATATGACCTTACCAAACAGACTGGACGGTTTTTGGCAAAAAATGACCGCATCATCTCTGATTTGGCTGAAATTTTTTTATGAGCTCCTTTCAAAAAATAAAAAGATTCGTATCTCGAGAAAAAAATTTGTAATTTGTGATTTTTTTTCTAGGGGATATTGACTAATGGGGTTTTAAAAATTGGCGTTGTAGATACATTTTCAAATGGACATATATCAAGCTATATAAATGATAGAAACTTCAAATTTGTTGCGTGTTAAAGATAATTGATTAAACTTTTAGGACATTATTTAAGCAATTAATATTGTTTATATTTAAGTGCATTTTCTATGTAGAATTTAATATACATTCAATTTAGAATAAAAAAGTAAACATTTTTGTGTCGTTCTTTTTTAAAAATTTATGTAACGGTATTATGGTGCTTATGAGTGACGTATATGACTCCTGATAAATTAATTTTTTTTAATTACTTCTATAAACAAAGCCACATTAAAAATATTTATTTTTTAAGTAAAATTTATGGTTTAATCTAAATCAAAACTAAAGAAAAATTTATGTGACATATTCCTCTATTCCTCTATATATGTGATATATTCCTCTTTATCCTTCATTTTACTGAAAAATGAAGGATCAATTAATTTTTTAAAAGTATTTTTTGATAAGTCATTCAATGGAAATATAGTACGCATGTTCTTGATATGATTTGCGGCAAAAAAAAAATTAAAATATTTCAAAAAATAAAGCCATACTGAAAATTTTTATTTCTCACTAAAATTTAAAACTGAATCTAAATGAAATACAAAAAATGAACATTTTGGGGATACATTTAGAAAAAAACTTTTTTTAATTTAACAGTTAATATTAGTACTTAAATAAAAACAATCTTAATTGTTTGAACTTCTTAAAAGTTCAATCAATTATCTTTAAAACGCAACAAATTTCAGTTTCTATCATTTATATAGCTTGAGATATCGCCATTTGAAAATGTATCTACAATGCCAAATGTCAAAACCCATTGGTCCATATGTCTTATAAAAAAACAAATTACACTATTTTATCCCGAGATACGGGGTCTTCTTATTTTATAAAAGAAACTCATAAAAAAATTTCAACCGAATCGAAGATGATGAGGTCAAAAAGATGTCCGATTTATAAAAGAATGACGCATATAATATATATGTTACGTATACGTTAACTGACAAACTATAATAGTATACAACACAAATTATTGTTGCGTGTTTTTTTATTTTTTTTGTTTTGCATAAGAGAATTGCGAACATAGTCTACGTAAAAGTTATTGGAATTTGGAAATTTAAAACCATATATTTTTATTTTGTACATTAAAAGAAGATGATATGGTAGCTTATAAACACAACAAATTAATTATTTCAATATTACCTTCAATATGTAAAATATCCGTGGAAGTTTTTGATATTAAAATGCATTTCTCATGTAGTACAATACTGTTGCAAGCAATTGATGTATATTTTAATGCTAATTCTCCCAAATGGCTGTCATCTATGCAGTGCTGTGTAGTTATATTATCTAATTTATCCAACGTTTCTATAATTTCATTACAAGCAGCTATGGATTTATTAAATGGTTCTTCATAAGACTCATCAAATTTAGTGTTTAACAAAAATCTGTTTGTTTCTAATATAGAACTTATTAATGACATAAACATCATTTTATGCCTTTTGTTATCAGTTTCCCTATTCGATTTAGTAATTTCAAGTTCCGATTCTGCTTTTATAACTCGTTCCTTACAAGCTTCATTACTCAAGTTCAAATTGTTGTAACGTAATTCAATTGAATCTTTATAATTCATCAAGGACTTGTATTCCTGTTCTTTTTCCTAAAAAAAAGTATAGTTGTTAATAGAAATTTTAATGTAATAGAAAATTCAAATACCTTTAACTGTATAATACAATTTTGAAGAGATTTTTTAATGTTGAAAAGCTCAGTTTCTTTATGATTTACTTCAAATTCACATTTTTCTTGAATTTTTTTAATTTCGTCTAATTTACTATTTATTTGGGATTTTAAAACAGTGTTTTCTTTTTCTTGTTCTTCGGATTCTTTAAGGAATGATTCGTTTAAATCTTTTAAAGTTAATTTTAAATTTTCTGTTTCTTTGATTTGATCACTTAATTTTGATTCCTGAAATATTTTTAGCTGCAAGTGATCTGTTTTTAATTTCTTATTTTCGATTAAAAGCGAATCATATTTATTTATCGAATCCGCAATATTAGTCTCTAAAAGAGAATTTTGTTTCTTTAGTTTTTCAACAACATTTAACTTACATTCCATGTCTCTAATTAGCACTTTATTTTCCGTTAATTCATTTTGAAGTAAAGAGTTATTTTGGCGCTCCGTATTTAATATTTTATTTGTTTCTCCATGCTGTGAAATAACAATTAGTATATTAATTATGTTTATGTAAATAATACGTTATTAAGAAATACTTTACTTTCAAACTGCTTAACTTGAATTTCAATAAAAGTAATGCATATTACTTTACAAAATTTTAATAAATATCATAATGACTCTTGAATTTATTGCAAAACAATTAATTGATGATTAATTATAAGATGAAGTAAAAAAACGAACGGAACTATACTTATATTATTAGTAAGAATTATTTTAACTTAAAAATAAATTGATCATTTACAGAAACATATCAAAATAAGTTGATGTTTATAAGGTGTTTAAATTACTAAATATTAACATTGTTTCAAAAAGATTAACTATAACATAATTATACAATCTTATTTATATTACTTCAAGTACAAAATTTATGCCATCGCCGCGAGATTGCAGAGTAAAATGCATCATAAAATTGTGTGTATTTTGTTTTCAATAACTTTCTTAGAGGTTATGCATATAAAGTTTATAAGCACATTTGTGGTGTTAAGAAAAAAAATGCACGCACTCAAATTTGTTGTGCGGTTTCAAATTTCACATCGCACAAAGCGATGATTGTTCACACACATTTGTGCTGTGCGACTGACTTAGAAAAATGTGCACAATCAGATGTGCGAAAACATTTTATGCTCGCATCGCACTGTGCGAAACAAAATTCTCTTCGCACACGAATGTGGTGCTAATATTACGATTGCACAAATGTGCTATTGCATAAATGTGCACAAATGTGCGATTTTGCGCTTGCACCCAAGGATGGAAAAAAATTACATGAATTACATGATTTACACAATTTTGTTTGAAATATTTTGTTGCAAATTTTGAAAAAATAAATATTTATGTTCGTTGGCATCGTAACTTATGTTAAAAATTGCATAAATTAACAAATATTTAAAATAATTATTTTTGTTAAATATTTATAATGTTGACTAAAAATTATAACTGTCTTAACCTAATTTGTATTCTAACTTAAAATATTAGTTTTTTGAATATTACTTTCCAACTTTTGTGCATTTTTAAATGCAAATTTAGTAAGTAAACTTAAAGTATTTGTTTGGTAAGTTTTGCACCAGTTTAAAAGAAATAAAAACATATTTTAGGAAGATTTTTTTATTCCCAAATAATATGTATTTACATAGGTAGAGTACCTAACTTTTAATAAAAAACACGAAAGATTAGGAAAATATTTTCTTGAACAGGTAGCAGGATGCTTAGATTTGCTAATGTGAACTTAAAAAACATGAAAAGGAAGTAAAATTTTTAACTCTTTTGGTAGGGCACAAAATTTTTAAATCAAAGCAATTTCCACTGAAATATATGAATGAATACTAATAATAGATTAGGTAAAATACTATTAAGTAAAAAACAAACATACTAAGCCTCAGTCACTTACACCTTAAAGGACAAAAGCAATACTCTATCGTGTTTATTTTAATTTTTAAGTGATGATTAGGTGATAATTAAAATTATGAAGTAGTCCAAAATTGATATATTTAATATTTTTAAAGTAAGATATGTAGAACCGATACTCTTTACTTATAACATTTCGAAACAAATACTCTTTCTTTATTAAATTCATGTACCTATTTAACTCATATATCATAAACTATTTATATTTTATATTATAACAAAGTCTTCAAGTACATTGTGAAATTAACTTTATTCCCATGTTTTAAATTAATAAACCTTAAAATAATAAGTAATATAAGCAATAAATGTGAATCTAATAATAAATTCAAAATTAAAATATAAATATAAAATCATTTTTTCAATAAAATATTTCGCCTTAAGACGAAAATTAATGCAAATCAGTCTTCCATACTATTTTGTTGCGTTATTCATCGTAATATTGTGCGCTTTTAAATCATCATTTCACACAAATGTGCAGTAGACATTTCGTCTCCGCACATTTGGGTGCATTTTTATTTTCGAGTCTGCACACAAAATGTGCTCCTTGTATTCTTTTCTGCACACGTTGTGTGCGAGGGCAAGCTGGCTGCCTCACACACAATGTGCTGTGCGAAATAACTTCGGCACAAACACCGAATGCGTGTGCGAGTTTTATTTCACTCCACCACATTCGTGTTAAATGTGCGTTTTGTTTGTGCACACAAGATGTGCACTTAAGATGTGCACAAAAATTTTCTCACACCACATTTGTGGTGCAAAATTTTATTTCGAATCGCACAACATTTGTACGTGATGCTTTGCATTTTTGTGCACAGCACAGTGTTTTTCTAAAACCTGATATAAACTGATATACAGTAGGTATCTAGTATCGCGAATAGCCAATTTAACAATTATCCAATTCAACGATAGAAAAAATCATGTCATTGACTATTTAAAATACCGCATTATGCACTCGCTATATGTTAAATATAATTTATATTTTATAATTTATATTTTATATTATATAAAATATTTGTAAATTTAACGAACTTTGTTAGCAAATGTTGTTAAGGTTTACAATTTCAACACACCACAAAATTATTGTGGAGCAATTAAAATTTCTGCACAATCAACTAAAAAAAATAATAAATATTACATTCAAACTACAATACAGGTTGGCTGAAAAAGTTTTGAAAGCGACACTTATTAATCAGTAGAAGAATCAAAATTTATACGCCAAACACATTATACGTCTAAACACATTCAGATGTTTATAAGCCATTTTTTTTATAAGCCATTTGAAATTGACGTGTCGGTGATTTTGTCACAAAGGAAAACCCGAATATCGTGCAGTGATAACGTTCTTTGTTTTAGAAGGTTTATCAGTAACAGAAACTCATCGATAAGTTTTAGAGTTTAAACGTGAACGTCATTAAGAAAGTCTACGACATTGTTCATAGAGATCCATGTTTGAGTAAGCGCGAATTCGCTGTTACCATAGACATTTCGGACTAACGAGAAATCTGTATCTTAAAAAAAAGAATTGCATATGAAAAAGGGATTCGGAAATTTAGTGCCGCATTCGGTGACAATTAAATTAGTACAGCTTTGCGTTAGTTGGGTAATGAACACTGACTCTGGTACAAGGTTCTTTGGCAAGGTACAAGCTCAAGCAACGCTACTAGCAGTCTCAAAAAATGATTTACGAATAATTAAATATAAGAAACAATTTCAAGACCACTGATATGGCAGAACTTTTGTTCTATTTGTTAACTTTATATAATTGGGAAATTAAAAAATGTTTTATTTCGTTTCAAATATATATGTTTTTATTAGAATTCCTTTTTTAAACAAAACTTTAATTTATTTAACTGCGCTTAACAATGCTTAAACAAAAACAATAGGGCAGATATTACGCACTTTCAACAATAGAATGATACATTCTTCTATCTGACCTATTCTGCATAAATGGTTTGGTCTAGTAAAAATCGAAAATAATAGAATGTTCATTGTTTAAACAATAAAATATATGACTTGTTGAAAAAAAAACATATAATTCATTAACAAAAAATAATAAAAAATGATTTGTATTAAGATCGCATAAAAATCAAAAAAAAAATTTGATTTTTTAAAAGTAAAAAGCATTACTTTTTTCTTGTGTCAAAGTTTTGACAATAAATTTAAGTTTTTAAATTTGGTCTAATTGGTGTATTTCATAAAAAATTTTAAAAGAAATTAAAATAAATTTTGAGACTTTTGGACAATGAAATTGTGCAAGATTTTATTGTAAATAGTATACAACCTAGTGTACCTAGTAGAATTTACTAGAACTGCCGTACTGTTGACTGGTTCCAATTTCCATACACAATTTGAGGATGATCGATATCAATGACAAAGGTGAGTCCTTATTTAATTTTATATGTTAAAGTAAACTTTGTTAACCTAATAGGGGTTAGGAACCGACCTACATCGGACCCACTTTATGTAAGTAACATTCTCGACATTACTGTATATACAAACACAAGTAATATAAGAGGAGATTGAATGGTGTTACTTGAGCCGTGGTTTGTTGTTGCTTTCGTCTAAAGGTTCCCGGTTGTGTTTTTCTTTATAGAAGTGAACCAACGAGAAAAGCTAATGAGCTAGTACCTAAAAATTTTGTTCTACTGTACTACTGCAATTTTGTACTACTGACCCTATAGAGTATAGACTATTTGTTTAGCTGCCTTTCTTCTCCAATCTTTTGAATAAATTTTAGCAACTCACATACGGAGCGTGATACGTCCCGAAAGATTGTTAGAATTGCATTTTATTAAATCATTGTTATGCAGTGCAATATGTTTATTATAAATTCCTGAAGTGCTAAGCTAAACATTTTTTCTTATTTTGACCTTTTTTTACTTATTTTTAAATAAAAAAAACATCAAATTCTTTTAAATGTATATTCATTAGTATAATCCAGCTATATAAAATGGATAGATAATGATTTTATAATTGATATTAAATAAACACACCTTGACCATATGCTGAAGACATCACGATTGAATTTTACATGAAATGAACAGATCTTCCAATTGACCAATTTGAGATGAAATAGAAGAAAACAACGCTGGCACAGTACAGCAATCAAGATCAGAGAAGCAATGTTATCAGCGAAGTAGATATGATCGCAATATATGATCGCCATAAATCAAAATCGCATAGGATAGAGTGAATGGGAATCAACTTGTGCTTAACACCAAGCCGCATGTAAGGATGTTCAATACGTTTTCAGAGAGCAGAAAATGAACTTTCTGTTTTGGAGAGGTTAGCGAAGGTAGTCAACATCTATTATATTCTCTTGAATGAAATAAAGCAAATCGAGTACTGATGAGGTATAAAAACAATAATTGAGAGTGGTGCCGCTTTGTAGAGAAAGAAATTCATAAGTGACACTAAATGAAGTGTAAAGAATTTCGTGATTACGTTTTAATATAACATGTTTTCGTGGTACTTTAAGGTGACCAGATTTTTAGATGGGCAAAGCGGGGCAACTCATACAGAATAAAAATAATATCGTAATATATATTTCTTACCTGTGCAGAGTATTTTTC